AGTAGTTTGATTAGTGTACGAACATACCTGTGAAACCACTGATAATCATCTGAACACATGAATATTTGTGTTTCTGTAGTATTCTTTAGTGCTGTTAATGTTTAGGGAACTTAGGGGTAACAATAAAAGGTTGATGCTTGCTTCAAACATGCCCAGTATTGAGTCGCACATATATCTATTTCTCTGGCTGAATAGCATCGGTATTCTGATTGCCTCTGTGGTATCCTAGCATATAGTGGATGCTTAGATCAGTGTAGATGTTGACTTGATTTTCTGTATTTTTATGACAGATAAAATGGTCTCCCATTAGAGACTGCGTGAATATGCATGCCAGCCTCAGCTAGCTAGCTCACCAATGCACCTCAGCTAGCTGGTCTTCTTATTCTGTTAGATCATGATAAATGTATTGCATTGTCTCTGTACATGTTTGATGCCACATGTGTTTCCCGGCCAGGAGTGTACCACATCACGGCAGAGTAATTATGTTTTCTTACATTCCATCCCTCTAGGGCCAGGCGAACAAATGGGTTAAGAACATGGAGAAGGCTAACAATCTGCATGTTGTGAAGCAATCTGACGGAGACTTTGTGCGCACTCTAGAGAACTGCATACAGTTTGGTACCCCTGTCCTACTAGAGAATATTGGAGAGGAGCTAGATCCTGTGTTGGAACCTCTCCTGCTCAAACAAACGTTTAAGCAGGGCGGCAGCATCTGCATTAAAATAGGAGACTCAACCATCGAGTATTCACCCGATTTCCGGTTCTACATGACAACAAAGCTGAGAAACCCACACTACCTACCAGAAACAGCAGTGAAGGTATAGAAGCATGTACTGCTTGTACCAGCTTGTACTGGAGGAAGTGGGATTCGTGCTGGCTCAAAATTTATTAATGTTTTAAAGTTGAATCATGTAATTTAATTTTGAATTATGTAAATGCAGCAGGTACAGGTATGATCAGTCCATCATGTGATAAAAACAATTTTGGTATTGTTTGTGTATAAGTTCCATAATTTTATTGGAATTTTTTCTATGCACGTATTACATTGGTACAAACATTCATACATCAATTTTACATGCATTTACCCTATGCTTAATAATGGATGTACTTTATATTTCTATTCTCACTGGCTAGGTGACCTTGTTAAACTTCATGATCACTCCAGACGGACTTGGTGATCAGCTGTTAGGGATCGTGGTGGCCAGAGAGAGGCCTGAGTTAGAAGAAGAGAAAAGTGCACTTATTATACAGAGTGCTGATAATAAAAGGTAACTTAGTCATGTTAGGTTGGCTGTAAACACCGTTTATCTGGTAGACACTAATTACTAATATGGTTTCTCGTGTACCACTAACTTGATAACTCCTCCGTGGTGTATTTGCAGTCAACCTTTTTTAAATGCAAAATTGCGTCCAGGGGTAATCATTAAAAAAAATAATTTACGAACCAACTATTGGTGGATTTTGAAAACCCATAAAGCGCAGTTAAAGAGATGAGACAGGATTTGGGAGGTACTGTCATCTCAGAGGCAAATATCCTTGAGGACGAAACTGCCATTAAAGTGTGTCACCATCATCAAAGGTCCTTGCAAATGAGATATCGGAAAAGCAGGTATTGCATTGTACTTGTTAAATATTAAAATCGGTGTTAGGACAGTAGGTATAAGAAAAAATGGTAGGATTGAAAATGTGGCCAATGCTAACATTGGTGACTAACTTTTCTATTAAAATGGTATTTACCATATTAAGAAAGTGGCTAATATGGAGTTTCAATAGTTAATGCTTGTATATCTATAGTTATGAATTTGTTCAAATATAACTCATACATGTTTCATTTATTCCAATAGGCGTATTGCAGAAGCAGACAGAGAAGCTAATTGAATTCAGACTCTGCATGGGCTACAG